CTGAGCACAACGTCATGGGTTGCAAAGGGTTGCTCTGTGATCCTGCTACCATCATCATGGTGTTTAACTTAACCATTAAGTGTCCATCCAAGTACAGGAGATGGAATCTGGGGTCAAATATCTCTTGCTACCGCATATTGTAGGGATCTGTGGGACTAGAACATGAGCTTGCAGTATCTGACACAGCTGATGGTTCCACGTCGCCACTAGGAAGTCAGGCAGAGCTGAATCCAAGGATCACTGGGAGATTTGGCACCGTAGGAAGTACCACCCAAAAGGTCCAGAGTGCCAGCAGCCTTGTAATTGGACCCTGGTCAATATTTAACCCTGGAGGGTGGATGTCAGGAGGTGTTGTGTGTCCAAGGTCAGCAGTACTACCTAGTGGTAATACTCTGGACTATGTCACCCAGTGGTGAGAGTCCAGGATTCCCTTTCCTAGCAGTTACCGGCTGAGGGGGGCATAGGAACAGGAACCCAGGCCAACCCTGCTCTACAGGGGTTCCAACCCAGGACTCTTAAAAGCAATAGTCCATACACGTGACTTAGGGACTGGCACCCTGACTCCAGTTCCCTGGGTCACTTCCTATCCCCCAGCTTCTGTTTCTCCATCAGCACCATGGGTCTGCCTTGGGATCCTGCTTGACATCCTCTCAGGTCCATCTCTGGAGCACCTTCCCCTTCTGGCAGCGACTCATCCCCCGGGCTCCCTGCAGTTGAAGGGTCTGTAGCAGCTTGGCTGTAAGGCCAGATCCTGGCTGCTTGGAGTCCTGGCTGCTTGGAGCCCTGGCAGCTTCTCTGCAAGAGGCTTGTGCACCCAGCTGCTCTCCTGCTCCATCCACTGAGATTCAGCTGAGCTGCTCTCTTTTGAATGCTCCCTTCACTGGGAGTATGCCCAGCATAGGTGAGGGTACATGGCTTCCTGTTTTCATTGCAGCTGTGCCCATTCAGTGCAGGGTCTGTTCACACCATCACAGTGGACCAGGAAGTTTGGGCAATAACACAGACATCTGGCCTGCAGTGACATTAGCATTGGTCTTGCCTTGCCTGCTGATCTCCAGTCTCTGACCCCAGCCTGATTCTTGCCTATCAGTTCTGGCTCTAGTGATTGCTCTGATCCCTGCTTGCTGATTATAGCCTTGTGGCTGTCCTTGACTTTTGGAACCCAGCCCAGCTGTGACTGCTAAACCAGACTGCCTATGCCCTGGTCCCTTAGACAAATGCCTACATTTTGAAAGGCTTTTCCAATGCAGGGTGATTAGTGTCCCTCTTCTCTTCTCCCCCCCCCCCCCCGACCCCGTAATGTTTCTGTGTTAGACTTTGAGGTAGACTGTACACTGTAATATGTTGGTGTGTATGTTTAAAAAAATTCTCCTTGTTACATTGGATTTTTGTTTACTCCTTATGTTTGTAACCATTTTATTTGTGATTTAACAACTTTGGACACACTGCTGCAACTGTTCTAGTTTTTTCAGGTGTGGGGAAATCTATCATATTATCTAGCTTTGGGAAAATATTGTAGCCGAGGCACTGAACTAAACTTACAGATTTGGGTTGTCCTCCAAGCTTTGCCACAAACTTCCTGTGTAAGCTAGGACAAGTCCCCTAATCCCTCTGTGCCTTCTCTGCCCAGCAATCAGAGAGATAATAAGGATTGCCTACCTTGCAGGGCTGTTGGGAGAATACATTTATTAATGCAGGTGCAGTGCTCAGATACTACAGTGATGAGCATCATAGAAAATCCTATTGGTTTTTCTCAAAGGTAATTATAATAGATTCTCCCTTTGCCCAGAGGGTAGGATAGATCCTACCCTTGCCCATAGGGCATAATAGATCACAGAGTTGGAGATGGTTTGTTTTTATTTTCATGGAGAATGGAGAAGGTGACTTGAGGCACCTACTGGCCATTGTACCTCAGTAGTGGGTAGGTGTATGCTACCTAGTGAGTTATGGTGGCTTCATGGTGCTGTGATTTGAGATCAGCATTTTCCAAACCTAATCACACATAAAGAGCAGAGATTCAAGGATGGAGGAATCTGTTAGTTACTATTACTGCTGTCTGAGAATAAAAATGACAGGCAGAATTTCCTTTACAAAGCAGAATAAAATAGATATTGACTGGTTTTCCTTTTTATAGTGGCAAGCAGTTATCCTTTGGGCTGAAAATTATTCAGTGAATAATCATGATCAAAGACCTGTTGTGGCTCACTTTTTCTACCCATATGGGAAATAGTGGTGTGTGGGGTTATTTTTTAATATACTATAGACTCAAACGCTAATCAATATTTCTGTAACACAAACACACTGTTCTGATTAGAATGCTCACTGCCTGGGCACTTCTATGTAGCCTGCTCTCTTTGAAACCCTGCCTTTTTTCTGACTTCACTTCCTGAATCTGCTGACAACGCTCACTGCCAAGTAAAATACATGTCCACAATGCTGTTGTTTGCAAAATATTCCCTTGCGAGTACAGCTGGGGCAATAAAAAGTTTCTCTCTAAACCACAGAGAACGGACTATCTCTTATATGAGCAAGAAATAGTATGCATTAGACAATATGTAATCTCAACATTTAAGCAAATATTGAATTGCTGCATTTTTCCTTCAAGTCTCCCCTTATTCTTGTGCCTCGGGATCACTGAGTGACCTAGAAAGCATGATTAGACTGAAATTCAGCAGAAGTGAATCAATGGAGTGACAGACTGGCACTACTAGAGACTCTTCTCAAAACAGACACTTCCTCTGCGTACCCTGTAAGCTTGCCCTACCTGTAGTGGCCTGGTGTCTCAACACTGACCTCCAGACACCAAGGGGAGAGTTTAATACACTGTTCAACCCCTATTCTTCCCTTGGTCCCCCTTGAGACTGCCTACTAGGATGGCTGTTAGGCCCAGGTCCTCAAAGGATTTGTGGAAATCAATGGAAACTTGGAGTCTAAATGCCTTTGAGGATCTCGGCCTCTTGTGCCAATTGCAATAAAGGATTTTGTGATGTACACACTTGTGTGTCGCAAACTGGACTGAGACAAGCAACTCATTTCACAGGAGCTAGTGAACAACTATCCAACCCTGGACATATTCCTGGTTTTGTTACTACTAATCAAGCTTTTTCCTGTGTTATCAAATGTCATTTATGAGATGGAACACACTATAACTGTAACGTTAAGTGTGTGGATTATGATGAATGGGTGGGGCAGTATATCATGCAGCTGTGTCTAATTAAAATAGAATTTTGGAAATATTTGTTCGGGCGAGGGAGAAGAACCTTGCATGGTTAACTAAAAGCCTCATTAGTAGGATCTCCACTGTCAAGAGTTAAACCTGTACCTTTGCAGGTAATTAATCTTCTTACCCTGCTTATTTTGCTAGTTGGCACTTGTTAAGTCCCTGCAAAGTCACACCCAGCAATGCTGTGTATTATCCTTCTGCTTTCTATTCCTACATATGGTCAAAATCAACTTACCTTCCGGGTTGCTGACATCAGCAAAATGTACTCTTGGCAAACTACAGCATTCTCCCGGTAACCCTTTGTTTGGTAAGTGTTTGTTACAATTTTATGTATCTGATAGCTTTACTTTCTATTTGCTACTAATAACTCCAGCTACCAACATGTGTATAACAAGGAAAAAATTTACTATAGTATTATAACTTGAAACAATCCATCATGCATATGATTTGATACCCAAGGATCTATAACATGAGCAAAGGATCCCCTTTCAAAGGAAATATGTATGTATGCTATACAGGGAAATATATCTTGAGCTCAAGTAGTAGCAAAAAGTTTGTGTGTGCGTCAAAGTTTCACTAACACTTAATACCAGTGTGTATTATGTAGTTTTATTCTGAGATGTTAAGCACGACTGTCACCTTATTTCGTGTTGTACTCACTTATTTGTATTTTAACTAAAGACAAAACTTTCAAGCTACTATAAAAATATTAATCATTTGGTACCAGACCTATAATGTCTGTAATTAGTGAATTACACTTTCTGCCTATCTTTTCATAGTATCTGTTATCTCTGAGATATCTGGTTTTAAAATCACTCTGAATACATTTCTATAAACCAGACCGTTTAATTGGATACAGAGCCAGTAAGCTGAAAATCCTGAAATCATAAATTATATTATTTACCATAAACATGGGTTTATTTCAGATGAGTTAAGTGACTTCTCAGCTACTGCTTATGTTCTCATTCTATTATCAAAAGTATTCTCATACTTCCGTTTTTTAAATGTAAACCAAAAATGACAGGTAAATTGTCCATTTCTCTTTTTGTCCTTACTGAATGTCTTTTTATTTACATCCTAATTTTCAATTTATAGCTATAGCTACTTAAGTTCCCCCATTATGTTAAATTTCTCCAATTTTCATATTGGTCACTAAATTTTAGTCAGCAAAAATGTCTAAAAGGGAAAGGAATTCAAGATATGAAAAGGGCTTATAGAATGATTTTATTGTGACAACAAATATTCATGAACAAAGACCACCTCTTATCTAGGAATAATTAGACAGTAATGAAGGCACCCATATGAAGGATACATTGTTTGTGAAGTGACCTACCTTAAAAATGTTGTTGGGGATATTATTTTAATAAGTATCTAATATTAAATAGACAGTTACAGTTCAGACTATTCTAGCACAGGGCAATTTGGTACAATGGCAAACTCCTCAAATTTTTAAAGCTACTGTCTACATTGTGCTATTGGATTATGGTAGGCAATCCAATCTGAATTAAATCCATAAAACATTTCAAATGCATAAACTACTTCTGTTTATGTTACAGGGTGTGTTTTATCTTTTCCCTTCTGACACATTCTCCAGGACATGTCTTCTTGTTACAGTGTAAAATTAACATACACTCTACCATTTAGAGTTTGGTGTATGTGGTAGAGTCCTGATGTAGGTACTGGCAAAAAGAGAGGGGAGGGGGAATAAATGCATTTAATACTTTTATAATTTTCTTATATATAATAGAACCTTTCTGGACTTTTTCAGAAACAAACATAAAAAAAATTATATACTTTATTACAAATGGTAAATTCAGAGTGCTCAAAAAACCCTCATTTACAAACATTACTGGACAGAACACAAACATAAAAATAATTTACAAAGTCATGAAGTAGTTTATTGACATTAATCAGCTTTCATAAAATAAAAAAAATGTACATACACGATTTACTTGAAGGCAGGCAGTATAGTTCCATTTTTATCAGCCTCCCACAAACCTCCCTCCCATTTGTTTTCTTTAAGGGTATTACAGAAAGCAACCTACAGTCTCTATTGCAGTTTAACCTTTAATACTGAATGATCATCGAATGTTAGGTCCATGCAGGTCTTGGTCACTATTAAACAAAGATCTGATGTATCATCTGAGCAGGAACAGCACTTCTCAAGAGCGGTGCTGCTTTGCCACTAGCTCAACTGAAGGCTCGCCAGTCTTTCCACACATGTGCTTTGTGGGGTGCAAGCAGGACTCAATGCCTCTCAGCCTTTACCATTAGCTTTATGTATCTGCCACTTGTTATGCGTTTGTTTTTTCTGTTGCTCTACCACAACATCATAGTTCTTTTTTTCCCAAGTCAGTCTCTTCAAAATGTTTGCAACTGTTGTGTTAGCATTAGCTGGCATCCACTGTTGACATGGTTCATGACCTTCTGCTTAAGCTGTGCAACCTGTTCTCTGAGCATGTTGGCAGTGGATGCCAGTTCTGAGTTCTGGGCTTTCAAAGTTTTCACTTTTTCTTCCAATCTGGCAATCCTTTCCAACTTCCTTTTCCGGCATTTGGAGGCTGCAATTCTGTTTCTCATGCGCTTCCTCTCAGCCTTGATCCTCTCCTGTGACTCCATATCAATAGGGGACAGTGGAGGAGTCTCTCCTGGCATTTCAGGTACAGTCTGGGGCTCCTCTTTCAAAGCTTGCAGTCTGGGATGCTGCACTGGCATCTGAGGATTAATGTGATGCTGAGGTGGATAGCCCATGTTGTTTGCATTGTAGTTAGGTGCTGTGCTGAGTGCACTGGGGTTAAAGTTGCTGAGATTGGCATACACTGGAGGCTCACTGTGCAAAGTGGTGTTGAAACCATTGTTGCCAGCCATAGAAGAAACAGGTGTCATACCACCATTAACAGGTTGGGCAGCAGATGTAACACTGGGCATCGTATTCTGGTTGTGTAGCTCTGCCAGTGCCCTCACAAAGCCTTCAGCAAACCCTTCTTGCTCATCAGTAACATTTTTGGGACAGAGAAACTGTGTTGGGGTAGGAGTGGTGGTGATCAAGCCATTGCTGGACTGGATGATGAGCCTTTCCAGTTCAGGAGATGCCAGCTTGAGGAGACCAACATCTGGAGAGGTAAGAATATCAGCATTCTTGTTCCTCAGGTGGGGCTTGAGATTGCTTGAAGGATCAGCCAGATTTAGAGTCATATTCTGCTTCAGGACTTTAGGATTATTATATCCATAACCACCACTTTCTGGCTGTACAAAGGTAGCATTTAGGGCATCATCATAGAATGTAGGTTCCATCTTTGCAGTCATAGAACACAGTCCACAAAACTGTCTCTAAAGCAATAAGAATTAAACAGTGACAAACGCGTTTGTTTTCTAAGTCCCGTTCAAAGAAAGTTCACCTTCACTTTAAACTACTGCTAGTGTAACTCTTTCACCAATGAAAAAGCCTTTTAAAACAATCAGGATGAACGAACGCCTTACTTTTTTGGCCACCGTGCAAGTGGCTTGAGTGTCTTTCCCCCGTTTCTTCAGCGCATCAGGGCTGAACTTTTTCAAACCCCAAAAAGAGTCAGCCTGAGAATGGAGTCGCAGCAGTCCTGGTGCCAGGTTCTGGGATCTCTCTCTCGAGTGAGACTGGGGAACGGGGGAGGAATCCAGTCTCTTCCTTTACGGTTTCACTCCGGAGTAAGTGTCCGACTGGGCAGCTTCGCCTCCTTATCGCTCGGCGGGAGGGTCAGAAATCCGGTCACTTTTCTGTCCCCTTCTGCTACGGCGGGGCTGTCTGGGGGAGCGCGCTGCAGAGCCCGGCCACTTGCCTGAGCGCTTCCCCGCCGCCTCCTCCGGCTGGCAGCCCCGGACCCCGCGGCGCCGGACCCCCCGGCGCAGAAGTTGTCCCAAGTATTTTCCCCTCCGCTCGCGCTGCCTGGACTCCGCCAGCTGCGGAGACGCTCCCGGCTCTCAGCCCTCGTCCGCCGCGGCTCGGGGTCCGAGCGGGCCTGGTCCCCGCCGGGAGCCGCCGCAACGCGAGACGCCTTGTCCCGGGTAATCGCCCAGCCGCGCTCGGGAGCTGCTCTCCGCGCTGCCAGAGCAGGCCCGCCGCTGCCGCTGCCCCGGAGCCCGCTGCACACTCTGAGCCCTTTCCCGGCGTGCAGCCCAACACTTATCAGCGAGCAGTAACCCACCAAAAATAGCCCATGATGTCACCCCGCGGCCTTCCCATTGGCTGCGGCAGCCTCCCCAGGGGGCGGCGGGCCGCGGGCCCGGCCTGTTGCAAAGGAGCCGGTCGCCATGGTCACCCCACCCCTAGAAGCTTCTCAGCGCCTCGCAGGGCACTGTGGGATGAGGTAATGCTTGTTCTCAGCGCGGGGCATTGTGGGCTGACGTATTGTTTTTGAATCTCTGGTTACCCGCTGAAGCGCTCTGGTGGGGTTGGAAGAGCTGGGCTGGAAGGGGGAGCCTCCTTAATAGGAAGGCACCAAGTGGTGGACGGAAGGGGGGTGGGGGCAGGTCCACAGAGGGAGACGCTCCTTTGGGCACTGGGTGGCTAATGGGGTTTTAGTCAATCCTGCTGCTTGAGCCTTCACGGTTAAATCTGTTGGCAGGGGATTTGGTTAATCCTGGGCTGCCTGCTCGGCCTGTCTTTAGGCTGCTTTCTGAGCCCCCCCCCTTCTGGGGTGGTACGGTCCTTAAGGTGGTCCGATCGCCTCAGTGGGCGCAGCCGCCGGTCGGCAGAAAACAGCGGCGGGGGGGGGAGGAACCTGAGCCGCACGTGATTCCTGATCCCCCGCCCCCGCTGCTGCTGCTGCTGCTGCTGCTGCGGGGGGGGGCTGCGGAGCTATGCGCGGGGCGCCGCGGGGGAGGAGCGGCAGCCGCCGTCCCGGCCGCTCCCGGGGAGGGGAGGCGACCCCCGGCTGGGGGGGGCTGAGCGGGAAGGCAGCCTCCGAAGCTCCCGCCGGGTATCCCGGCGGGCCCGGCTCGGGGCGATGCGCTCACGCCCCTGACTCGCTCCCGCGTTCAAATCCTGGCCGCTCCCGCCTGGGAACTGCGGAGCGGGGCCGGGGCTGACTCCACGTGATTCCCTCTCCTTGTGCGAGCGAGCGAGAGACGTGCCTCGCTGGCAGGCGTGAGCCCCGGGGGTGGGGGGCGGACGTGCCAGTGCCTCTCCCCGCCTTCCTGCCCGCCGGGCTCTGCCAGGTGCTCCCTGCCCTGGCCTCCCTTCTGCACCAGCTCTCCGAGAAACCCGAGAGAGTGTCGCGTTCACACGGAGCTTTCCCAGCCCCCAAGGTCTGCCGCTCTGTGCAGGTGCTGATGTTGCCATGAAAACATGGCTCTGTCCGCTCTGCCAGTCTCGCCAGTGCGGGGGGGGGGGGGATTCATTTGTTACTCTGTGTCACGCTCTTCGGAAATAAAAGTGCTCAGTATTGGAGGGGCACCGCTGGCATGCCACCACCTCGGAGGTGGAAGGGAACAGCTGCTTAACAACATACAGCGCTCAAGTCCAGGACAGGAAGGGAAGGAGGCTGCTGTATTATATTGTGCATAACAGATCCACATTTCTTAGGCTCCTAGCAAGTAAAGCAGTTAAAAAAGAAAAGGAGTACTTGTGGCACCGTAGAGACTAACCAATTTATTTGAGCATGAGCTTTCCTGAGCTACAGCTCACTTCATCGGATGCACACTGTGGAACTGTGCATCCGATGAAGTGAGCTGTAGCTCACGAAAGCTCATGCTCCAATAAATTGGTTAGTCTCTAAGGTGCCACAAGTCCTCCTTTTCTTTTTGCGAATACAGACTAACACGGCTGTTACTCTGAAACCAGTTAAAAAAGTTACTTAGCCAAATTATCTGTTGATGTAAATTGTCACAGCTCTATGGAACTTTGCCAATTTACTCCAGAAGAGAATTTGGGCCACTATGTTAAATCGCCTCTTATTATATGTAAAACTGCAAATTATTCATGGATTTGAACAAGTACTTTAAAAAGTGAAGCATTCCAGTAATATTTTTTTGTTCTAAACATAAAAACTCCTTCCATTTCCAAATGGGATTTTTTAAAAAGAAATACAAATCCTAAGCAGAGGTAAATGTCATATCCCACTATTTTTCTAAATGATCTCCCAGTTTCTTTTTTCAGTTTGAATTTTTTTTTTCACGTGCCTTCCACTTGAATTTGAGCAGTATATTAACTTGCAAAAGAGCCAATGCTGCTGTTTTTGGAAAGTAACTGGTGTACAAATAACATGGGCAGTCTTTGTAGCATCTGGAGTAATAGTTTATGGTGTGAAATTTTAAATTCACTCCTGAACATATAGCCTACTATGTGAAGATTCTCTACGTATTGCCACAGTACATGTAACCAAGATATGCCTATGTTCCAGAAAACTTAAATTCTGTGATGACAGGTTTCAGAGTGGTAGCCGTGTTAGTCTGTATCACAAGGACTCCTCATTGTTTTTGCTTAAATGCTGTGTAGCACACAACTAGAACTCCAACTGTTAAATAGTTTAAAAAATCAGTAATATCATTACATATAAATTAGTCTCTAAATCCAAGATCAGCCTGTTCAATGCTAGACACATTCATTTTTTAACTTATTTTTTAGCCTTTCCCTGCCTCATCAAAAACTACACTCAAGACAAATAAAATTGTATTCCATAAAGATACATTTCAGTTTTTCATTTGTCTATTCAACAATGGGAAATCTTTAATTTTACTTACTATCATCTCTTGTGCCATTTTTGTATTCTGATGTGTCAATGTGCAAAATTATCAAGTTCTTTAAAGGTTTGTCTACTGTGGGAAATTATTCTGGAAAAAGGGTAGAGTGTGAATTTAAAGCGCTGTAGCTATTCTGAAATAATTCCCTCTGTGGACACTCTTATTCCAGAATAAGAACACCTTTTCTGGGTTAGTTTAATCCATTATTAAACTAAACCAGAGAGAGGCCCATATCCTCAAAGGTTTTTAGGTGCCTAATTCCCATTGAAATTAATGGGAGTTAGGCACCTAAATACCTCTAAGGATTTGGGCTAAAGGCACTTCTACTCTGGAATAAGAGTGTCTACATGGGGAGCTATAGTACAATAGCTATTCTGGTCAATTTCCTCAGGTAGCTAAGCTCTAAATCTTAAGAGTGTTAAATAAGATCGCAACAATCTTTAATTTGTCCGGGAGCACTATTTTTATCTACCTAACTCTATTTTTGCTGCTAACATTACAAAGCCAATTTAAGATGTAATTCAAGAATATGGTCAGTGTACTATTCAGGACTCTATTTAGCCAATTTTATTTGTATGAACTGAAAAACAGATTACTGCTCCATTGGGGTCTGATCCAGCTGCCTGTTATCAATATGAGTTTTCCATTGACTTAGTGAGTGTTAGAGTGGGTTGCTAGTTTACTGTTGTGTAGGGTTTTTTCTTTTCTTTTTTTTTTCACCTACTTTGCTGCCAGGCAGGCTTTGACTTCCTTCCAGTCACAACGGTGGAGTTTCAGAACCATAGGTCAAAGTGGTCATTCCAGTTTTGCTGGGAACAAGTTGCTACCATGGCCTACTGTGAGGGCGGACACCCATCAAACACTAATTATGTTAACTGATACTCATTTAGAGGCTATTTGGTCAGTTGAGCAACACGCAGTTAAGCTGGTCATAAAAATGCCAAGTATACCTGCACAGCTTTGAAACCAAAGAAAAATTGACTTTATTTCCTTGTTCTGTTTGTTTCTTCCTGCTTGTTGCCTGTATATCATTCATCTGAAATGAGTGGTGGCTCTCTGCTCAGTGGAAGATTGGGAATCTTGGCTTAGCACCCAGCTGACCAACTGAGATTCATTCAGTACCATAGAACTCAGAGTCTGTCTGCACTTTAGCTGGGACCCTACCTCCCTGCCCTGGTAGACAGACACATATTAGCTCTGCTCAAGCTAGTGTACTAAAAATAGCAGTGTGAATGGTGTGGCACAGATGTTAGCACAGATTAGCCACCCAAATAGAAATCCATCCATCCTTGTGGGTCCATACTTCAGTGGCTAGCCCAACCCTCTGCCTGTGCCACAACGTCCACACTTATTTTTAGTGCACTAGCTTGAGCAGAGCTTGCACATGTCTGTTTACCTGGGCTGGGAGGCACACGCCCTGCTGCAGGGTAGACATCCCCTCAGAAAATCTGAATCAGAATTAGGCCCCATTGGTGCAGAGATTTTGAGTCTTCATGGCCAGCATCCACAGAGCTGGGGATTTTGGGTGAATAGATCCCTGAATCAGCTATTACTTTAGCCCCGGCTCCCCCCCTTTCCTGATCTCCTAAAGTAAATAGTGTTGTGAGATGAAAAAACACTGTGCCATTTGTAGATGAGATCCGTTTACATGCCTGAATAAACTTACTTGTGGGTAGGAACTGGAAATTAACTATATATTTCCATTGATGTGACAGGCAGATGCTTTGACCAATGGTAATACAGATTTTCATAGAATCATAGAATATTAGGGTTGAAAGGGACCTCAGGAGGTCATCTAGTCCAACCCCCTGCTCAAAGCAGGACCAAGCCCCAACTAAATCATCCCAGCCAGGGCTTTGTCAAGCCTGACCTTAAAAATATCTAAGGAAGGAGATTCCACCACCTCCCTAGGTAACCCATTCCAGTGTTTCACCACCCTCCTAGTGAAAAAGTTTTTCCTAATATCCAACCTATCAAATCCCCCCTCATTCTTCTCTTCCACAGACTAAACAATCCCAGTTCCCTCAGCCTCTCCTCATAAGTCATGTGTTCCAGTTCCCTAATAATTTTTGTTGCCCTCCGCTGGACGTTTTCCAATTTTTCCACATCCTTCTTGTAGTGTGGGTCCCAAAACTGGACACAGTACTCCAGATGAGGCCTCACCAATGTCGAATAGAGGGGAACGATCACGTCCCTCGATCTGCTGGCAATACCCCTACCTATACATCCCAAAATGCCGTTGGCCTTCTTGGCAACAAGGGCACACTGTTGACTCATATCCAGCTTCTCGTCCGCTGTAACCCCTAGGTCCTTTTCTGCAGATTTTGATTTATAGCGTTCTCTAATCAATCAATACAGGGTTGCATGAAGCGATCAGATGATCTGAATAATTAAATGGCCTTTTCCGGGACAAATTAACATTTTTCAGACACACAATATCCATATGAATTGTATTTGGTCTTGAGGAATTAATGGGTCAGTGACTGTGTTTTCACATTTACAGTGAGCACCTTTT